TCCTCCTAGACCACCATAACCCCCCAGGACCTCCTAGCCCGCTCCAGATGCCCCTTGAACAGCTCCAGCTGGGACCCTCAGACTCCCCCGATCCCCAAAGCCCCCCAGCCCCTCCCAGGACCCCCCCACGACTCCCCAAACCAAACTCCCAAAGCGGGAGCAGTCCCATCTTACCCTCAGACCCCGCCCCCCCCGATCCCCACACCTTCCACAGCCCCCCAGGCTCCCCAGACCTGGTCCAGCTGCCCCTTGAGCAGCTCCAGCTGGGGCAGCCCCAGCTCCCCCACGCTCACGGTCTGCGCCATCTTGGGCCGCCCCGCCCCAGGACACGCCCTGGCGTGAGAGCGCCCCCTGCCGGGCTGGAGGATCGACAACACCCCGTCCGCACCACCCTCTGAGAGACAACGGCCCCTGCCGGGCTGGAGGACTGCGGGGGGCGTCCTGATGCCCACCCCACCCCCGGAAAGGGGGGGGTGTTAATGCCCCCCTCCCGCGAGAAGGGGGTCCTAATGTTCCCCCGCGAAAAATGGGGGTCGTAAAGCCCCCTCCACTTGAGAGAAAGGGCGATCCAAGGTCTCCCACAGGGAAAAAGGGGGGTCCAAGGTGCTCCCCAGGGAAAGGGGGTCCGAATGCCCCCTCAGGGGAAAAGGGGGTGTCCCTAATGCTCCCCCCAGGAGAAAGGGGGGTGGTCTTAATGAGAGACCTAGGGGGGACCCTGAGACCTGAGGGGACACAGGGAAACTTGAAGGGGCCAGAGAAACTTGGGGAATCCCCAACTTGGGGATTTGGGGGCTCAGAAACACTCGAGGTGGGGGTCAGATAAAGAGGCAGCAGCTTTTATTTATTTAATTGTTGCAGAAACTCGAATAAAACCAATTTCATTAAAATAAATTAAGGCGTGCAAAACTCCCCAAAACAGGCACGGGGACCCCAAAACAGACAGAGATACCCCCAAAAGGCCCCATGGTGGTGAGGGACCCCGAAATCCTCAGCAGGGCAATGGGGGGACCCCAAAGGTAACAAGGGAATCTCCAAACAATGGGGGGGACCCCCCAACCATCCCCACAGGGAGATGAGGAGCCTGTAGGTAACAGGGGGGACCCAAAACCAACTGGGGGACCCTCCAGCCCACACAAGCAATGGGGGAACCCCAAAGACAATGGGAGGGACCCCCCTCAGCTGAGGCTCACAGGCAGCCCGTAGGCCACGGGTGCAGCCCCGATGAGGGATTTGAGTCGGGGGGCCTGGCGGGCCTGGGACAGGTGAGGCAGGAGGGGGGTCCCGGGGCCTCCCCCCAGCCAACCCCGCAGCAGGGCCTGGGCAAAGCGGTCCAGGTCCCGGTCAGTGACGTCCCACAGCGTCCCCAGTACCAGGGGGCTGCAAAACAAGGGGGAGAGGGCCCCCCAACACAGGCTGTGAGCGTGAAGAGACTCCCAGAGTCACAGAGACCCTCCAAATTCCCAAAGCCCCCTCAAAGCCCAAGAGTCCCCCAAAGGCATAGAGCCCCCCAGAGCCACCACCCGGCCATGATGTATTTGAGAACGGTCCCAGTGGGCTCCAGGCCCACTGGATCCCCCCCAAATCACCCCAGATACACCCTAGAATCTCCCAAAGCCCCCCGGGCCCCCCCAGACTCACCACCCGGCCATGATGTATCTGAGCACAGTCCCGGTGGGTTCCAGGCCCCCCCTCAGGGCCAGGGCAGCGCTGGAGCAGCCGAAGAGCAGCACCACGGCCCGACATTCCAGCCGGGAAAGGGTCTGTCTGTCCAGGAGCCGCACCCCCGACCCGTGCCCTGCATAGCTGGGGGACACAGACCCCCGGAGTGAGTCCCAGGGGTTCCCAAAAACCCGGAAATGGGGAACAGGGGGTCCCCAAAACCCAGGGAAGGGGGAGAAGGTGCTGTTGGGGTTCACCCCCTCAGCTCAGAACTGACTCCGAGCTCCGGGGGGATCAGGACCCTCCAGGGACACCCTAGGGACCCCCCAAAATCCCACTCACATGTAGAGGTCGTGCTCCAGAAGGGCCTCCTGGATCTGCTCCGGGGTCGGGATAGAGCCAGACACGCCGTGCCAGCCTGGCTCACTGGGGGAAACAGGGCAGATTTTGGGGGCCAGAGCCACCCCAGAGGGGACAGGGGCAGATTTGGAGCAGGATTTGGGGGCAAACTCCTTGCTGGGGGGCATAGGGTGAGAATCTAGGGTGCAGATCCCTCCCTCCCCTGGCTCACTGGGGGAAAATAGTCAGGATTTGGGGGTGAGACCCCGCCCCAGGAGGGGGATAGGAGCAGGATTTGGGGTGCAGACCCTTTGATAGGGGGATAGGGGGAGATCTGAGGGGCAGAACCCCCCCACAGAGGGGACAGGGGCAGGATTTGGGGTGCAGCCCCCCCAGGGGTTATAGGGGCAGGATTTGGGGTGCAGCCCCACCCCCCCCCCCCCGCCCCCCCAAAGGGCCCCGACCCCTCCGACCCGGCCCGGAAAGGGGCCCGGGGGCCCCCCCGGATGTTGTGGGGGTTCAGGACGTAGAAGGTGCTTTTGGGGTTCACCCCCCGGGCCAGGATGGACCCTGAGCTCTGGGGGAAACAGGGAATGTGGGAATGGGGGAATAAACCCTGGGACACTCCAAACCCCGGGAACAGGGGATGGAGGGTCCCCAAACCCTGGGAAGGGGGTTCAGGGAGTCCCCCCACCCACCAGGGAGGGGGTCCCAGGGGTCTGTGCCCCCCTGACCTGCTGGGCCATCACATAGCTGAGCAGGAACCGCAGGGCTGGGAGCCGCGTCACCGGCACGGCCCCGAGGGCCGGGAGGGACTCCCAGGGGAGACGCTGCAGGTGCTGCCAGGGAGGACGAGAAGGGTGAGGAAGGTGTGGGGATGAGGAAGGAGCCCTGGGGGTGTCTCACCTTATCCAGCAGCAGCACCAGGGACCCCCTAGAGCCACCCGGCCCCTCTCCTGGGCCTCCTCCAGGAGCAGGGGAGGAGAAGGATGATGAAGGTGTGAGGATAAAGATGAAGGTGTGAGGAGGATGAGGAAGGAGTGAGGATGATGAGGATGAAGCAGCAGCCCCAGGGGTCTCACCTTGTCCAGCAGCAGCACCAGGGACCCCCTGCTGTCCCCTCGGTCCCTCTCCAGGGCCCCCTCCAGGGCCTCCTCCAGGAGCAGCCGCGCCCGGAGGGGCCGGGCCGGGCAGAGGCCGAAGGCCAAGGCCTGGATGTCAGGGGGGGGTCAGTGCAGGGGCCCCATTCAGCAGCACCTGGGGGGCAAAGGGGTCAGCACCCCAAAATCCGGGGTCAGCACCCCAAAATCGAGGGGTCAGCACCCCAAAATCCAGGATCAGCATCCAAAATCCCAGCTCAGCCCCCCCAAACCCACACGCAGCCCCCCAAATCGCAGGATCACCCCCCCCCCCACCCCCCCCCCCAGATCTCAGCCCAGGCCACCCACCTGGACGAGGGCAGGGTCAGGGTCATTCCAGCCGCAGCTCCGCAGCTCCGGGATGAGCCGAGAGGATTCCTCGGCCAAGCTGGGGGAGCTCCTGGGGGACCTGGGCAGGAGCAGCCCCCGCCAGCACCCCAAAACATGGGACTCCAGGCTCTGGATGAGGATCTGGGAATGGGAAAAGGGGATGGCAGGCATGGGAAAGGGAATGGGAGACGTGGAAAAGAGAATGGGAGATGTGGAAAAGAGAAGGGGAGAGGTGGGAATGGGAATGGAAGAGGTGGGAATGGGACACATGGGAATGGGAGATGTGGAAAAGAGAAAGGGAGACAGAGAAGGGGATAGGGAGAGGTGCAAAAGGTAATGGGATCCAACTCCAGGACAAGTCACTCAGAGGGGTCAGGACACCCCCATCCCAAATTTGGAGTTGGGGGGCTTCTCCTCACCTTCATCCTCTGATCCAGCCGGGAACGCCGTGACCACCACTCCTGCTTGTCTGTGCATCCGTTGGCTTCCTTCTGCTCACGTTGGATCGACTCAAATTCCCTCAGGATGGAGCTGAGGGGGGCCTGGAGGGGGAGGCATCAAGGATCTGGGAATGGTGGGGGGAAAACCTAAAGGGATCCCACCCCCTGAAATGGCGAGTGACTCCCTAAAGGGATCCTGGAATGGGGGGTGCCCCCTCCCCAGGATGAAGATGAAGGTGGTCCATGATGCCAGCCCCTGGAATGAGGAATTCGCTCCTCCCCAGGATGAGGAGGCTGGGGACAGATCCCAGACCCTGGAATGCCCCTGCTGCCCTCACCTGGGACCTGTGGGTGGGGATCCGGATGCTCAGGGGCTCCATGTCCCTCTCCAGCCGCGTCAGGAGCAGAGTGTCCCCAACAGCCCCCGGGCAGGGGCTGCCCAGGGCCAGCAGGACCACGGTCATCCCTAGGGACACACGAGGTCAGGGACACTCCCGGCCACCAGAGGCCCCCCAAAACATCACCCACCTCCCCCAGGGCACCTTTTCCTTCTTCTGCAGCCACTTTCCCTCCTTCTCCAGCCCCTTCTTGTTTTCCTCGTTCTCCAGCCCCTCCATATCCTGCACAGGGGGACACTCAAGCCCCCCCAGGGTTCAGGATCCCCCTCCTCAGTGCTGAGTGCTGGTCCCAGTGGCCCCCGTGGACTCACCACTGGGGATCTGCTGGATCTGCTCCCGGAATTGTTCCCTCTCTGGAGTCCCCAGCCCCGAGGTGCTGAACTGGAAGAGCTCCTCGAGCTGGGCCAGGCGGGGGCAGGGCTGGGGGGGGTCCCCCCCTTCCCGCAGGGAAAGGCTCTGGAGCTGCTCCGACACATCCCCTCCCAACTTCTCCTTCTTCCTCTTCTTCCTGAGTGGGGGGATCATCCCAAAGGTGAAGTGGGATTATCCCAAAGGTGAAGGGGGGGGATTGTCCCAAAGGTGAGAGGGGATCATCTCAAAGGTGAAGGAGAAATCATCCCAAAATGACCTCTGCAGGGTGAGGGGAGTGTGGGGTGAGACCCTGCCCCAGGACGGGGGGATGGTGGGGAAGAGAGGGGACATTGGGATGGGGCAATGGAATGGGGCCTAAAGCCCCAGGGATGAAGGAAGGGGACACAGGGAGGGGACACGGGGAGGGGACATCCACCTTGCCCGGCTGTGCAGGATGCCCAGCAGTTGGTGGCGGGCAGTGACATACAAGGACTCCGAGAGCAGCCCCGCTGTGCCCAGGGGGTCCCTGTCCCCCGTGAGCAGGGCCAGCAGCTGGCACAGCCCCCCATACAGGGACCCCGGGGGGAAGTGGCTGATCCAGCCCAGGGCCTCCTGCAGCAGCTCCACAACTGAGTCCAGGGATGGGTGACCTGGAGGCAAAAGAGAGGGGACACCACGGACAGGGGTGAGGGACACCCCGGGGACACCCAGAGTGGGGTCAGGAACCTCAGGGAGGGGTCAGGGACACCCCAGAGAGGGAACAGTGAAACCCCAGGGACACTCCAGAGTGGGATCAGACACCATGGGAGGAGCAGGGAGGGGAGGGGACAGAAGGGGGAACCCACCATAGCCTCAGCCCTCAGCTCTAAGAAAGGTATATTTTGGGAAAGGCAAGTTTTAGGCGAGGAAAGGCAAGTTTGGGAGGAAGGAAACTCCCGGAGAAGGAAAGGAAACTCCTGGGGGAAAAGAAACCCCTGGGGAAGGGAAGGAAGTTCTTAGGGAAGGGAAATAAATGAAGTTGGAAATCAATAAATGCCCAGCAAGACCTTTACCCCCCCACTCCCCAGCCCCCTCGAATCCCCCAAATTCCAGATTCTCACCTCTAGCCATGGCCAAGGGTGCCCCCAAACCTGGTGAGGGGTCCCCCCTGCCTGGGACGTCCTCACTGGCCTTGGGCTGGACCCTCCCTGTGGGGTGGGGAGAACACAGAGGGGCTTCAACCCCAGGCTGAGGACAGATTTGGGGACAGAACCTCCTCAAATCGGCCCCAAAACTCACCTGGGGGTCCCCCCCACTCCTGGGAGACTTCGAAGCTGAGCCGTAGCTCTTCCTCCTCCTCTTCTTCCACGGCCCTCAGGGGGTTCAGCCCCTCCAGCACCCCCTGGGAGGGAGGTCCCTGCTTTGTTTTCTCCTCCAGAGCCCCTTTTTGGGGGGTCTCCTGCTCCTTCTTCCTCCTGGGACCCCCAGCCCGGCGGGTTCCCCTTTTCTTCTCCTCCAGAGCCACATTTTGGGGGGTCTCCTGCTCCTTCTTCCTCCTGGAACCCCCAGCCCAGTGTGTCCCCCTTTCCTTCTTCTGAGCTGCTTTTTGGGGGCTTCCTTGGTCCTTTCTGGGCCTCCCCCGCTGTCGTCTGACCCCCATTCCTGGGGGGGCTCATTTGGGGGGATCCTGGGGACTTGGGGGGCTGCCCCTTCCTGCGGGCACAGGATGTTTTTTGGGTGGTTGAGGCACTCGGGGGGGGCTTTGGGATCCTCCAGGTCGCTGTCATCACTGAATGTCACCTGAAAGAGGGGGAACAGGGGGGTCAGGGGTGGTTTGGGGGGCATCCCCAAACTTTACCACTCAGCTTTCCCCCCATTTTTCCCCTTCAACCTTCCCCCCTCTCTTTGTCTCCCAAAGTTTTGCCCCCAAAACATTTTCCCCCCGAGTTTCCCCCTCCAACCTTTCCCCCCCTCAAACTTCCCATCTCAACCTCTCCCCCTTCAAAACTTTCCCTCCCCAAACTTCCCCCCAAGCTTACCCCCAAACTTTCCTCCCTTAAACTTTTCCCCCCCCAATTTCCTCCCCTCAAACTTCCCCCCCAAAACTTTTCACCCCAATCCTTCTCTCCCAACCTTCCCCCCCCCCAAATATCCCCCCAAAAACTGACCTTTAGGCAGGACTTGACCCTCCCCTGGGCTCTGGGGGGCTCTGCTGAGCTGGGCCTTGCAAGGAGGGGGTGAGGCCTCGTTGTAGATGGTGAAGGGGGTCCTGGGGAGGCCAGGGAGCCCCGGGAAGGAGGGAAAAGCTTTGGGGTGGGGGGTGCAGGGCCCCCTGATGACAATGGGGGGCACAACCTCAGAGTCCAAGTCCCCCGGAGCAAACACGTCCTGGGGGCTGGGGGGGCCTCACCCTGGGGGGTTTCACCCTGGGGGGCTTCTCCTTGGAGGGCTTCTCCTTGGGGGGGTTCCACCCCACGGGGCTTCACCCCCCTGGCCTTGGGGGGACCGGGTTTGTGCTGTTGGGGTTCAGCCTTGGAGTCTTTCAGGGTCTTTTTTGGGGGGGGGAGGCTGCAGTTGGAGGGTCCAGCCCTGGCCAAGGACATCGTCCACAGAGAGGCCCAGTTTGGTGGCCAGGTGGCCAAGGGTGGCCATGGCCTTAGCCAGCAGGAGGGTGGCCCTGGAGACTCCCAGGCCGGGCAGGTGGGGGCTGCAGGACCCCAGGAACGTCAATCCCCACTCCAGCTCCTCGTCCTGGGGGTCCCAGAGCCCCCCGGCACCGCTCAGGCTCTGCAGGGCCAGTGTGGAGTAGCCCATGGCCACCAGCTCGTCCAGCAGACCCAGGGTGGGCTGGGGTCTCATTCTGGGGGGGTTCTGGGGGTCCAGGGTGGGCAGATCCCAGTTCTCAGCAGGGTCTTGGTCCTCACAGGGGTCCTCCAGCCCCAGGTCCTGGTTCCCAAGGGGGTCCCCAGTCCCAGAGAAGTCCTGGTTCCCAGGGTGGTCCCTGTCCCCGGGGGGCTCCCCTTTTCTGCGGTGCCCTCCCAGCCTGTCGCTGAGCTCCCTGGCAAACCTGTGGCCCACCCTGGCACAGCGGGGCAGGACCCTCCTCACCAGGGCCACCCCCGCTGCCCCTTCCCCTGCCAGGACCCGGCCCCGGGCCTGGGCCAGGGCCCAGCGCAGGCCCAGCACCGACACCACCAGGTCTGAGCAGAGGCAGCAGGGGCAGCTCCAGGGGTGGGAGAGGAAGGCCAGGCTCATCTTCTTCCCGGGTTTCAGCTTAGGGGAGGCTGTGAGGGCACTCAGAGGGTCCTGGGAGCTTGAAGGAGCCACGAATTCCAGGGCAGGGCCCTTTAGGAACCCCTCGTCCTCCTCCCCCGAGGGGTTTTTGGGGTGGTCCCAGCGCCTCCTCGGCTCCATGTGGCCCTTCCTCGGGTGGATCTTGGGTGGGAGCAGGGGCTCCTGGGGGGGGGTTGTGCTCTGAAAGGGAAGGGAGGGTTAATTTGGGGTCCTTCAGCCTGAGAAACCTGGATCCAAGACTCTCCTTTCTGGATTTAAACTCTGGATGGAAGGGAAGGATATTTGGGGTCCTCCAGCCCAAGGATCCAACCTGAATCCCAAACTCGCCCAGCTCAAGGTTAATCCCTGGGTGCTCCAGCATTAGATCCAGGAAGGATCCCAAGGTAGATCCCAAAACTGGGGACCCCCAGGATCCCCCCAAGCTCGGGGGTTCCCCCCGCTCCCCAAAACCCCCCCTGCATCCCGGGGCTCTCACCTGGGTGGGGCTGCAGCAGGAACAGGGTGTGCTGGAGGTTGAGCTGGCTCAGCTCCAGCTCCCCCTGCTGCAGCTCCAGATGGGATTTCAGCAGCAGGAATGACGTGCACCTGGAAAAGGGATGGGGAAAAGACCCTTCAGACCCCCCCAAGACCCCTCAGATGCCCCAGATACCCTCAGACCCCCAAAAGACCCTTGAGACCCCCCCAACAATCCCTCAGACCTCCCAAGACCCCTCAGACCCTGCCAAAGACCCCCTAGATCTCCCCAAAGACCCCTCAGGTTTAGTGTCAGGGTTTTGCCAATCCTGTTCTTTAGTCCCATTTCCTCCCATTCCCAACCCCGAGGATCCCAACCCCAGGACTCACCAGCGTGTGCCCTGCAGGAGCCCGGACAGCCTGAGGGCCTCCCCACAGAAGGCCCTGGCCCGGCACAGCACCTCGGCCCGGCCCAGCAGCGTCACCAGGCGCTCACAGCACCACAGGGCCTCCCCCAGCACCTCCCACTTCAGCACCACGTTGGCACCTGAGAGGGCAGAAGGAAGGGGATGGATCCGGCCCAGGGGAAGCCTGAGCTCTTCCAGAGGCTCCAGGTCCTCCCTGGAGGAGCCCAACTCACTGCAGAGGGTCCTGACCCCTCCCAAGGAACCCAACTCATTCCAGAGGCTCCCAATCCTTTCCAGGGATCCTACCCCATTCCAGAGGGTCCCTCCCCTCTCACCATAGTCCTGGAATTGCTCTGCCCCCTCGTTGCTCCGGGAGCCCCCCAGGATGTCAAAGCCCAGGAGGAAGATGGTGACACTGCGAAGGAGCTTCTGGACCTCCATCAGGGCCACCTTGGGGGTCTTCCAGCCTGGGAGGGTTTGGGAGGGGGGTCAGCATCAAGGAAAGCCCTTCCTAGCCCCTCTAGCATGGAGACACCCCCAAAATTCCCTCTCCTTATTCCAAGTTCCCTCCTCCTCACACCAAACCCTCTTCTTCCTCCTCAAATTGAACTTTCCTCCTCATCCTCCAACTCCCCCTTCCTCCTCATCCTCAAACCCCCTCCATCCTTCTCTTCCTCACCCCCAAACTCCCGCCATTCCTCCTTGTCATCCTCAAAATCCCAGAGTTTAAACCTTTCCAGGACCTTCCATCCCCCCAGAGACCCCCTGGGACCCTCCTCCCCTCTCCCTGCGTCCCCCCCCTAGGATCCTCCATCCTCCCCACAAAACCCCTCTAGGACCCTCCATCCTCCCCCAAAACCCCCCTGGGACCCTCCATCCCCCCTCTCCACCCCTCCATCCCCCCCAGGGGTGACTCCCACCCTGCCAGTCCCACCTTTCCGGTGCAGCTGGTGCCGGAGCTCTGGATCCAGGTGTGCAGGGGCCATTCCCAGGTACGTGGCCACCACCTGGAGCCCCTGGGCCTGGAGCAGGTACCAGCCCTTGGTGGCCTTTTGGGCCAGGGGGCTCTGGAGAACCTGCAGGAGCAGGGACAGCCCCTCCTCCATCTAGGAAAAATCGAGATTCAGGGATTGCATGGGTCCTCCACATCCATAATTCCCTCCTGTCCTACTTTTGGGGGGTCTCTGCACCCCTCAAACTCCCTCTTCCCACAACTTTTGGGGCAAAAAGGAGCCCTTTTGGCTTTACTTTTTGGCTGACACAGCACAGGTGGCTCCGGAGCAGGAGGCAGGAATGTTGCAGGAGCTGCTGGGATTCATCTCCACCTGGGAATTCCCTCAGGATGGACTCCAGCTCTTCCAGGAAAACCTGAGAATGCCACACTGGAATGAACACCAGGACCTCAGGGATTATCCAAATCCCGATCTGGTCATTCCCAGGATGTTGGAGGAGCTGCTGGGAATTCCTGTGGGATACACTCCAGCTCCTTCAGGAAAACCTGGGAATGCCACACTGGGATGAACACCAGGACCTCAGGGATCAACTGAACAATTCCAGAGGGTCGTTCCAGGCTCACCTGGGCATGGGTGGGACATTCCAGCTGCAGGAGCAGGCGGGTGAGGTGGGACAAGGCCCAGGCAGCGCCGGGAGTGTCACTGAGGCTCCGGCACAAGGATCGGAGCAGCAGGAAACTCTCCAGGGCTTGGATGGGCTGGGGAGCACAAAATCCACTGGTTACACCCCAAAGCCACCTCCTGGGGGGTCTCCCGGTGGTCCTAGGGGTCTCACCTTGGCCAGGAGCTTGTAGAGGGTGGCCAGGAGGTGCAGGGAGGTCATGGTTTGTTCCAGGCTCCGAACACAGGGAATTCCAGGGGATTCCAGGAGCTGCTTCCATAGGGAAAAGGCTTCGTCCAGGCTTTTGGTCAGAGCTGAGGAGACACCAAGGGGCTAAGAGAGCTTGGACAGAGCCAGGTGGGGCCAAAAGGAGGATTCCCAGGCTGACACTTGGCTCTTCCCAAAAGAAAAGCTCTTCCCACCCCCCCAGGGTCCCAGAAAACCCCCTCCTGGTCCCCCAGCCCCCTCACCCCTGTCGGTGTCCAGGGTGCAGCTGATCCCATCCTGCGGATCCAGCTCCTCTCCTGCCCTTCCCTCGGCATTCAGGTCGTTGGGTTCAAACTCCTCCAGGTTCCTGCTGCCCTGGGTCCTCCCCCTCTGCTCCCTCTCCATGCCCTGGGAATTTGGGACACCACAGGAGGCTCTGGATGGGTCCAGGACATACCCAGACCTCCGGGATTTTCTGAAATCCTGGGAAAAAACAGCCCCTTCGAGCCCCTGATCCACAAAACCTTTTCCATGTGGGCCTCAAGGGTGCAGATGTGGAGCCAGAGCAGGGCCTGGGCCTTCTCATCCAGGAGCTGATCCCGGTTCTGGGAATTCCGGGGCACCTTTTCCAGCAGCCTCAGGGCCTCCCGGATCGCGTCCAGCGCGGAGCTGCCAGGAAAAGGGGTCAGGAAACTCTCCCAAACTACCTGGAACTCCACAGGGGAATCAGGAACAGCCCCCTAAATCCCTGGAGATCCACAGGGGGATCAGGAACAGCCCCAAAAACCTCTGGAGATCCACAGGAGAGGGAGGGAAACACCCCAGGACCCCAAAGAAACACCAGAAACACCATGGGGCTGAGAGACCTCAAACAGGGACAGGGGATCCCAAAAACCCTGTTCCCAGATGGACACTCAACAAGATGGGCCTGGAAAAGCTCATCCCAACCCATCAGAGTTCCAAAAAACCCTTCCCAACCTTCTCATCTGTCCTGGAAAAGCTCTTCCACCCCACTAGGGTCCCAAAAAAACCCTTCCCCCCCTCCAACACCCTCCCCCACCCCAGACCTACCAACCCTCTCCCCAAAACCCCAAACCCAAAACCCTCCGGTGCCTCCACCACTCCCGGGGGTCACTTGGGGTGGGGGTGGTCCCAGGGCACCCACCAGTCGGTGTGGGGGGCGAAGCTGTGGTAGCACAGGACCTGGGCCAGCTCCAGGAGCCCCAGAGCCCTCGGGAGGAGCCCCCTGGGGTCCTCGGGGCAGAGCTCCAGGAGGTCACACAGGACGTTGTAACGCTCCGGCCCCGTGTCCCACTTCAGGCACTTGTAAGCCTGGAGCTCGGCCAGCAGGAGGGACACCAGGGTGGCCCAGTCCAGGGAATGGCCTTCCAGGGAGTCCCTGAGGGTCCTGGGGGAAGAAATCCTGTTGTTTTCATGGATTCATGGAGTGGGTTGGGTTGGGAGGGACATTAAAGCTCATCCCATCCCACCCTCTGCCTTGGGAACTTCCACTATCCCAGGTGGCTCCAGCCTGGCCTGGGACACTGCCAGGGATGGGGCATCCTCTGGGAAATCCATTGCAGGGCCTCACCACACTCCCAGCAGCTCCCAGTCCCCACCACAGTCCCTCCCAGCAGCTCCCAGTCCCCACCACAGTCCCTCCCAGCGCCCCAGTTCCCCCTCACCGCAGCCGCAGCTCCTCCTGGCCCTGTTTGGCCGCCTCCGATTTGATCCTGGCCCAGAGTCCCACAGGTTCGTGCAGGAGCCCCCCAGGCTGGGCCCTCAGGACCCCCCCAGTCTGGGCCAGGGGTCCCCCAGGCTGGGCCAGGGCCAGGAGCCACATGGTCACTGAGCCCAGAGCCTGCTGCGTCCGCCCCAGGCGCTTCCAGCTCTCCACCTGCATCCGGAAACACTTGTGGAGCTGTGGGAGGACAGGGAGAGAAGAGGTGTGTGGGGAGGGAATTCCAGGGGTTCTGTATCCCCCTTAACCTGTCCTGGGCCAAGGGAAGGGCTGGGAGGTGGGAATTGGAATTGTTCCAGGAGGAAAACCCGGTCACATCCTCTCCAGTCCTCCCATCACCAGTAGGAGTCCCAGTATCATCCCTGTATCCCGTCCCCACCTGGGAGAAGGGAACCTGGGAATTGGGGCTGTTCCAGAGGCTAAGCCATTCCTATCCTCAGTGGGATAATCTCATGTCTCCCTTCCCACCCTGGAACAAGGGAAGGGCTGGGATTTGGGGTTATTCCAGGAGGAAAAGCTGGTCCCATCCTCTCTCCCTTCACTGAGACCAGGACGAGGGAATTGCTTGGAGCTGGTAACAGGGGCTATTCCAGGACCAAACCCTCCACTGTCCCCCTCCCCCTTCCCAGCCCCCCATACCCTCTCTGGGGGGGTGTCAGGGCAGCCGTAGCCCCCCAGTTCCACCACCCCCCTGCAGAAGGGCTCGCAGATGGTTCCGGCCTCTTCCAGAAAGTTCCAGCTCTGGAAGGCGAAGCCCAGCTTGAAGGTGCACGAGGCTGTGGGGAGAGGGACCCCCAAAGTCACTGAGAGAGCCCCCTCCCCACCCACAAGGGGACTGAGACCTCCCAGCTGTGCAGAGACAGCCCCCCAGGACAGGGACAGGGGCTCCCCCTTGGTGGCACTGACCGGTGACATCGAGGAACTTGGCCCTGTCGGTCTCGGGGGGCCCCCCCAGAGCCTCCACCATCCAGGTCACGCTCTGGGTGCAGGTCCTGCTCACCTGGGCCAGCCCCAGCCACCCTGAGGGCTGAAGGGACAGGGGGGTCAGCAAAGGGGTCACCTCCACAGCCCCCAAAGAACCACCCCCAGGGCACCTTGAGCCCCCCCTTCCAACCCCACCAAGAGGAGAAGCCTCCAGGACCCCCAGAAATCCCCCAGGGTGGCTCAAGCCCCCCCTTCCAACCCCACCAAGGAGAGGAGAAGCTTCCAGAACCCTCTCAGGGCACCTCCAGCTCCCTCTTCCAACCCCAAGGTGCTTCCAGCACCCCAAGGGTCTTATCCTGAGCACCCCAAACTCCCCTTTCCAACCCCACCAACAAAGGGAGAAGATCCCAGCACTCCCAGAACCCCCTCAGGGCCACTGAAGCCCCCCTTCCAACCCCGAGGGTCCTGGGGGTCCATCCTGGGGGTACCTGGGAGCCCCGGAAGGTGTCGTGGATGGTGTTGGAGAAGAGCTGGAGGCTCCGGAATAGGAGCTGCTTCACCGTCACCTGCTGCTTGAGGGCATCGGGGGGCACCTGGGGGGGGTGAAGAAGGGTTCAGGGAGGGTAGGAGCTCCAGAGGCTGGGAATGGGGACAGGCATGGACCTGGGAATGGGAAAAATGGGGATCAGGAGCTGCAAGATCTCTGGGAGCTGCTGGGATGGACCTGGGAAGGGCAGGGAAGGAGAGAAGTAGGATTTGGGGGTTCAGGAGCTCCTGGAGCTGCTCCTGGTGACACAAACACTGGAGAGGGACACAGAGGGTTCACACAAAATGAACCCCAACCCCAAAACAGGGTTACACCCCCCCACAGCTGCCCCTAGACCTGCTCCCAGCCCCCCCAGTCCCTCACCCTGCCGAGCAGCCGCTGCAGGGCCCAGCAATGCCCCTCGGTGAAGGCACAGAGCCCAGGCAGGTCCTCGAGGCCGAAGGGCAGCTCCCGACTCCTCCTCGTCACCTCCCCGAGCTGGGCTGTCACAAACCGGGCCCCCTCCAGCAGCACCCTGAGGGTCCTCTCTGAGCCCTCCCCCCTCAGCGCTGCAGCTGCCTGGGACAGCAGGGGCCCTGGAGGGGACCTCCCCTTTCCCAGCTGGATCCCAGCCTCCAGCAGCGCCAGGGGGGCCCCCAAATCCTCCCTAGAGCGCCCCAGGAATGCCTTGGCCTCCTCCAGGGCCTCCAGGGCCTCGTGGAACCTGCCAGCCCTGCAGAGGTGCCTGGAGCACTCCAGGGTGAGCTCCAGGAAGCACAGGGAGTGTTGGATCCCGGGAGGATTTGGGGCTTCCTCCCGGAGAGTCTCCAGGAGGAATTCCCTGAGCTGCCGGGCCAGGAACACAGGGCAGGGAGCCCTCTCGGCCTCATAAAGGGCAGAGGCTGCTGCTGCCTTTTGGGCTGTCTGGGAGGTGAAGAAGGGGGGCTGCAGAGGGGGCAGAGACCCCCCGTCCCGCTCCAGCAGCAGCAGGAAGCGCAGGGCACGGATCTGGGCAGAAAACAGGGATCTTCCCTCTTCCCGAGGCCGGTCAGGCCCTGCCAGGGCCGCTGCCCCTTTCCAGAGGACACAGAAGGTGTTGTAGGTGACAGTGGTGAAGTCTTTGGGGGGGTCCTGGAGGGGGGTGTAGGTTCGGAGTCGCTCCCGCAGCAGCTCAGCCACAGCCCAGCAGGAATTCCCGGTCCTCCAGCAGGAATTCACGGCGTTCCTGAGCAAGTGGAAGAGGATCTTCTCCAAGTACAGGCCCGGGGGGTTCGGGACCATGCTGAGGTAGCCCCTGGCGGCCTCCTGGGCCAGGGCCATGAGGGGGGGTCCAAAGGAGGGGGGACCCTCCCGGCCCAGCTGCTCCACACACGATCGGAGCACACGGTCACACGCCTGGAGCCGCCGCTGCCGGGACGGCGGGGGCGCTCCCGGGGGGATCTGCAGGGATTCCTGGGGGGAGACAGGGACTCAGACCCCTGGATGAGGGAGTCAAGACCCCTAGAACCCAGCCCTGAGCCAGTCAGGGGGTTTGCCAGAGGGATCCAGAGGCCCTCTGAATGTCCTTTTCTGGGGAAATGAGGGAGTCAGACCCCCCCAAACCCAGCCCAGAGCCTCCTGAGGATGCCCCTGAGAGTCCCCCAGCTCACCCACAGCTGGTGGGTCCCAGTGAGATCCAGAGGGTTTCCTGGGCATAAGGGAGTTAAGACCCCATATCCCAGCTCAGAGACCCCCCCAAGAGTCCCCCAGCAGGATTCAGAGGTTTTCCTAGGAAAAAAAGGGACCCAGCCTCCAGCCCAGAGCCCCCTCCCCAGGGAGGGACCTCCAGCTCACCCTCAGCTTCTCCAGCCTCTCCTCGATGTTGTCCCCCTTCTCCTTCCCATCCATCCTGCAGTGTTTCCAAGGGGCTTCCAAAATGATGTGGGGCTGGGGGAGGCAGGGGAAGGTGTGGGACCCCCACAGCCGCCCAAGAGCTCACAAACCCCCAAAACTCACAGCCTCCCCCCCCCAGTCCCCACATCCTCAGGCCCCCAGCCCCAATATCAGGTCTCCCAAACTCCCTCCAAATCCCTCCCCTTTTTGCAGCCCCTCAGGCCTTTCCCCCTGCCCCCTTTTGCCCCTTCCCACTCACAGCCCCCCTCCCGAGGACCCCCGGGACCCTCAGCCCTCTGAGGGGGTCCCAGAACCTCCGATCTCCCCTCAGGATGACCCAACCCCCGCACCCCGCTGCCTTCAGGCCTTTTCCCCCCCTCTTTGCCCCCTGGTTCCTCCTCACCAATCCTCTCCCCCCAGCCACCTTCCCCGGCCCCCGCGGCCCCCCCCGATCTCCCCCCGGGACCCCCCAAACCTCCGCTCACCTTCCGCGGCCGCTCCTCTTCGGCCGCCAGGGGGCACCTCGCGCCGCGCGCGCGTTCAAATCTCCGCGACGGCCAATCAGCGCTCGGCCCCGCCCCCAGGCTCGGCCCCCGCGCGAGGCATCACGGGAGGTGTGGTTTTTATGCCAATAGCGAGGCACGGGTGCGCACGCGCATAGAGGGGAGGGCGGTGGGAACGGAGGGGGTCAGTGGTGTGAGGGGCGTGGTCACAGCAAAGGAGGTGTGGTCATTGTGATGGGGCGTGGTCACCGTAAAGGGGCGTTCCCAGGTGTCCCCATGTGTCCCGCAGACCCCCCCTGGGGTTCCCCTCTGTCTCCAGGTGTCCCAAGGTGTCTCCTCTGTCTCCAGGTGTCTTCAGGTGTCCCCATGTGTCCCCTGGACTCCCCTGGGGGCCCCCCCCTTCCCCCAGGTGTCCCCAGGTGTCCCCTCTGTCCCCAGACACTCCCTCCCCCTCTCCAAATCAGTAGCCGCAGCTCCAAACCCAGAGCGTTTTATTGGGGCGGGGGGTGGGGGACAGACCACACGCGGGGCCCGGGGGTGTCCCAGGGGTATCCCAGGGGTGGGGTGACAACACTGGGACCCCCTTCCCCCCTCGGGAGTTGCGGCATGCGGGGGGGGTGTGGCGGTTTGAGGGTATTTTCGGGGAGTTATGATGCTTTTTACAGGTGGGCGCTGCAGGGGATGGGGGGGGCATGACCCCACCCCAGCTCCCTGAGCCCCCTCCCCACGTCACGAGGCGGAGTCAGGCAGGGTAGATGATGAAGCCGGAGAAGGTGCTGGACTTGGGGGTATTTTTGGGGTGGTTTTGGGGTAGTTTTATGGGGTTTATGAGCGGGGGCTGCGGGTCGTGGGGCGGGGACAGCAGCGGGGGGCAGGACCCCCGTCCCAGCATCCCGAGCCCCCTTCCCGTCCCGGGGGGTCAGTCGGGGTAGATGATGAAGCCGGAGAAGGTGCTGTACTTGTTGGTGTTGCCCCCGTGCACTTTGCCCCCGTCGAGCTTCACGAACACCTCGTCGCCCACGTCCAGGTGCAGGATGACGCTGTTACTCGCGTAGTCGTAGTTCTGGTCCGCGTCCTGCGCGATGGCGCTGGCACGGACCTTGGGGGGGGCATGGGGGTCAGGGACCACCCCCCATCCACGAGGGAATGGGGGATGAGGTGCTCGGGACCCCCGCGGGGCGCTCAAGGTCACGGTGTCCGGATGAGGCAGAGCCGATGTCCCCCCGGGCCACGAGTGTAACCGGGGGTGACGGGGGGACACCTGGAGACACCTGGGAACACCTGGATAGAGCCCCTCCTGCACCACCGGAATCCCACAGGATAACAGGGGCACCCCGGGGGTCCCACAGGGTAACAGGGAGACCCCCCCACCCAGGGCAGGCTCCAAGAATGGTGACCAGGAGCACGGGACCCTCCCAGGCTCCTGTGCAGCCCCTCCTCGGACCAGGGATGCCCGGGGGGACACAGGGACAGCTCGGTTTGGGGGGGGTGTCCTGGGGGGACATCAACCACCTTGGATCGATCCTTGTTTTTCCCGGAATAAAAGGGTGGGAAGAGTCCTGGGGTGAGGCCATTCGGGAGCAAACAAAGGGAGTGGCCAGGGGGGCACAGCCCACCAACCCCGCCCCGTGCTGGGGGTGTTCCGGTGACCCCCTACAGGCCCCCCATGTCCCACAAGTTCCAAGCCCAGCATTCCCAGGTGATTGTGGCCCCCTGGCCCCCGTGGCAGGACTCCCAGGAATGGGGAGGTTGTGACCCCAAGGCTG